AAGGAATCAAGCCTTCACGATAAAATATCGCCAAGATCTGATTCGTGATCAGATATACAAGGCAGAAAATGAAATTAAAGACAACAAAGCGCAACTACTTCAGGACACAAACGAATGGAGAAACAGCAGCATCGACGAAAGTCTCCGTACTCGCATTGAACAACACCTCGACATCCTCACAGACCGACATCACCTCAGCACTGAAACAAGGATAATCAAGAAACTAACAACGTTATATGGAGGACCTATGGCAATTCCACGTCCAAGAGATGGCTTCCTGAACCTTGCAGGAATCAACCTCACTGAGGACCAAATCACTCTCCTAAATCTGGGTATAAACTGTCACGTTATGTCCAGACCAAGTGAGATGGCCCGGAAAGTGGAGTTGGAGATTCTGTTGAACGACATATTCGACCTCGAAGCACAAAAGAAGGTCACCACCAAAGATACCTTACAAGCAGAACTTATTGCTGAAGGAGGAAAGAATCGAGGCAACTACAGAAGCACCATACTGTCCCCCGAGCTCAAAGTGGCAGCTAAGAGCCTTCGTGAGAACAAGGAGATAGTTGTCAGGAGAGGCGACAAATCACCAATATACGTCATTCTTAAAAAAGACGAATATCTGGCGAAAATGAACTTCATACTCTCTGACCAAACTAAATTCCAAAGGGTAACGAAGGACACTACAGCCGAACTGAAAGCAAAGGTCAACAAATTGATCGAAACTGTGAACGCCAAGAAATCCGGACTCCACCTGCCAAAGATTATTGGGGAATAAAAACCTGGATATGTGTATGGAAATGTCAAGACACACAAGGCTGGAAACCCACTTCGGCCAATCATCAGCCAGATACCCACACCCACATACAGACTGGCGAAACGACTCAACAGCTTGCTGACCCCTTATGTCTCTTGCGCCTTCAGCCTGAAGTCTCCAAAGGAATTTGTTGACTTGCTGCGGGGAACACGGGCCACAGGGATAAGAGCCTCGTTGGACGTAGAATCTCTGTTTACCAACGTACCTGTGGATGAGACAATCGGGATGATAGCCGATAGAGTGTACCGTGATCCGGCCTGTACTCCTCTTGACATACCAGAAAATAGTCTAAGGAAACTACTCCAAGCTTGTACTAAAGAGGCACCCTTCTTGAGCCCGGAGGGACACATGTATAAGCACGTAGATGGGGTCGCCATGGGTTCTCCCCTAGGTGTCCTGTTTGCAAACTTCTACATGAGTACCATCGAGCAAAAAGTCTTAGTCGACATGAACTTGAAACCGGCCATATACTGCAGGTATGTTGACGACATTTTTACACAGGTACCTGATGTCAGACGTCTGCAGGAGCTGAAGGAGGCATTTGAGCAGAATTCTGTGTTGCGTTTCACTTACGAGTTGGAGAAGGATGGAAGCTGCCCTTTCTAGATGTAACAGTCTTGGAAAGGAGCGGAGTTTTCCACACTGCAGTCTACACTAAGGAAACAAACATAGGAATGTGCCTGAATGCCAACAGTGACTGCCCGGACAGGTACAAGAGGAGTGTTGTTAACGCTTATGTCGACCGTGCCCTCAGCCACAGCTCAGAATGGAAGCAAGTCGACGAAGAACTCTGTAGGGTAAGGCAGGTCCTAGTCAACAACGGCTTCTCCAATGGTTTCGTCGAAGACATCATAAGGAGGAAAGTGAAACGCCATGCAACCTCTGAAGAGACAACTAACACAACACCTATTCCCCCTATTAGACTATTTTACAGGAACTTCTTTTCCACAGCCCATAAAACGGAGGAAAGGGTCCTAAAAGATATTGTCAGTAGAAACGTTATCCCTACAGACAAAAATCAGAAGACACAACTGACGATTTACTATAAAACCAGAAAAACGGCCAGCCTACTCATGAGAAACTCTCCAGACACAAAGCAGAATGCTTTAAAAGAGACCAACGTCGTGTATGCCTTCAAATGCCCTCTTGGGGACTGTAAGCCTCAAAAAAACCAGTATATAGGCAAGACAACAACATCTCTTTCCAGGCGTTTAACAATGCATAAGCAACAGGGCTCCATTAAGGAACATATAATCTCTTCCCACAAACAAACCATCACCAGAGAAATCTTAGCAAACAACACAGAAATCATCGATAGATACAGTGATAGCAGGCGGCTTGACGTCTGCGAGGCACTACACATCAAGAAGTCAACACCAGCAATCAACAGTCAATTAATGCACAACTATATTCTACCCACTTCAAGACTCCGCTTCAATATAGAAGCATCAAGAAATATGGACCAATAGGCTTTCTACAATTACTTCCATTCAATACCCATTGTTTCGTGTTCTGTCTTGTGTTTGAATTTAATACCCATTGTTTCGTGTTCTCTGTTGTGTTGGAATTTAATACCCATTGAATACCCATTGTTGAAAGTTCGTTTTTTCACCTCATCCACCTCACCCAAATGTAGATATAAACCTCAAAGATGTGTAAGCTCTATTCAGTTTCAGTTGTGTGTTTGTAAACTAAAGTCTTTGAAAATGTAATAAGTTTTACGAAACGCGCTCAAGTGTCGCGTCAGACTAGAAATAAAAATGAATTTTGGAGAATTGATCTTTGAATTTCCATCAACAGTGAAAAGAAACATAAGAAAGATAGAGAAAATTCGTGTTAGAATTATTAATCTTACTTTTTCGGTCATATTTAATAATATATGTCTACAGGAAAGACTGCTACCAAAATATACTAATATATATATATATATATATATATATATATATATATATATATATATATATATATATATATATATATATATATATAATGTGTATTAATTGTAAGTGCTAACCTCTAGTAGAGGTAGGATTATCGCCTAGTGAGTGCAGAATTTTACCCTAGGCTACCAGCAGTGCTTGCTCACAATTTATGAGCTAGTACCATCCAATTAACAAGTCACCATGACTAATCTACAGAAAGCAAAGCGTGCTTTTTGAGATATATACAAGAATTGTTACATTCATGTACAGCCACTAGTACGCGTAGCGTTTTGGGCAGGTCCCTGGAATACGATCCCCGCCGCGAAGAATCGTTTTTTCATCAAAGTACACATTTTACTGTTGCGTTAAACAGAGGCTACAGTTTAGGATTTGCGACCAGTAAATCCTCCCCGGCCAGGATACGAACCCATGACATAGAGCTCGCGGAACGCCAGGCGAGTGTCTTACCACTACACCACGGAGACTTTAGTAGCAAGTAAACGTCAACTGACAAGAGATCTCGACCAATATGAACAGTTGTTGTATGAGCCTGTAATTAATTATCGTCGGTTGAAAATACCACTATTACAGATTCAAACCCAATTTCATATATTGAAAGCAAATAGGAAATCTTACCAAAATCAGGTCCACGACGACAACGACATAGTAGTTGAAGATGTGGAACCATTCCTGTCTGACCTAGCACAATATGAAGAAGAAACTCAAGCCAGGTTGGAACATTTACACAGGATAATTGAATCAAAACAAATAGCCAGTACATCAAATAAAGTAGATAAAGTTATGGATGATCTGGATCTTTTTGAGAATAAATGTCAAGCCAGATTAGATCCTTTAATCAACGACGATGAAGCTTCACCCAATATTATACCACCAGAAATGAAGCAATTCTCAGACAATTTATCCACAGTCTCTGTGCATTCTGAAAACCCAATACCTGAGGCTACTAAGTTAACATGCCTCCAAACTGAAATTAGAGGTGAAGCTGAACCTCCTTATTTTGATGTCATTAACTTGTGTTTCCTTGTTAGTTAACACGAAATCTAAATTATTATTTACTCGTGTTGGTTTCTTAATGTCTTGAGTAAGAAAGCAATCGTCAATTAATTCTATAAAATCTTCTGCTTCTTTATTCCCTGTTCTGTTAATCTAGTTTATTCCACTAAAATTAACGTCACCCATGACACAAACACTGTTAGACTTAGATGCTCTGGATATTTCATCCCATAGATGCTTTGCTTCTATCCTGACTAAGTTTGGTGGCCTGTATGTAACTCCTATTATAAGATTATTTGCTTTTTCGTTTAATTCTATCCAAATAATTTTTGTGTGGCTCAGTTTTGATTTCATCTTTGAGACTACATTTTAAATTTGCCCTAACTTATATGGCTACTGCCCCTCCTCGTCTAATATATGTATAATTTAAATCCATTTATTTGATATTCAGCTAATAGTTCTCTATTTTCTAAATTCATCCACGTTTCGGTAAGTGCAATAATATATATTTTATCTGTGTAGACAAGAGCATTTAAATCGTTTATTTTGTTTCTTAGATTCCTACTGTTCGTGTAATATACCCGTAGGTGTATCGTTATTTTGAGGCCTCGCTCCTTCCCTGATCATTTTGCCAATTTGTTTCTCCCACAAACACATTTTTATTACATCTTTTTTCCATATCAGTTCCCATACCACTATCTACTAACAAAGCTTAGATTTAGGAAAGACCTGGGTAAATTCTGGTTCAGTAACAGGGATGTTGATTTGTGGAACCAATTATCACATAACATAAGAGAAGTAGGATTCTTTGATTGTTTCAAGCATTCGTTAGACATATAAGTAGGAGCTGCCTCGTATGGGCCAATAGGCCATCATCAATTACCTTCATTCTTACGTTCTTATGTTCCTCTGGGAAACTGAAAATGGGTGTCGATTGCGTTCAGATGGAGTTAACATCATCACTACATACTAAACAACTTATAATGTTAATATAGAAGATACATCGAATCCACTATATTTCCATCATCCTAGGAGCTAGGTTACCAGCTATTTTAAATATAAAATTACATTTAAAAAATACTTAGAATAATATTTTAAGAAAATTTATTGACCTGTCGAATGCTATTTAACCGAATGATTTATAAATTTATTATTTGTCACCAATTAGTCATACATATAATGATGTACATATTGGTGTTCTACATGTTATTCTTCATGTGATACAGCCTGGGTTTTCTCTACTCCAGGTACCTGTACTTGAGGCCCCCTGATGGGTCTTGGGGCCTTAAACGTGAAGATGGTACCTGGTCAGGCATGTTGGGGATGGTCATCAGGCAGGTAAGTGTTGCCTTTAAGGTGCCTTAAACGTGAAGATGGTACCTGGTACTTACCTATGTTACGGTCTCATCACCTTCGTCGGAGTCTAGAGTGGCAATTGAAGCACCATCTATGAGTCTGCACTCAAACTTCCCTGATATTGGACGCTATGTGTATAACTCTATCTATAGGTGGTGGCGTAACAGCGGCAAATAGCTCTGGTTTCCTGCCGTCATCAGAATGTGCGGTCAACGTGGGTAACCTCAGGTGAGGTGGCAGATGAAGATAAGCGCCACCTAGGTTGTGCTGCTGAGCATAATGTCAACCTCCAGGTGAATAAGTGTTACCTCATGGTTTCCCCAGTGTATCGTCCATTTAACTGATGACGTTTTATGTCCCCAGAGGTGACGTGTGGAAGCAGTCGTACTGAAGAGGGTAGTTTACCTTGGGCAGTCCACGTGTTCTCAGCTTGGTCCTGGAAGACGACTAAATAAGCCGCCGCCGATCAGAGCAGTGTGTTAGCTGTTGATTTAGGTGGTGATAAAAGAGATCGGCATATCCTGGGATTGGCTTAGGAGAGTAACAGACGACAGTGAGGTGCCTGCTGTGAAGTGCTGCTAGCCGGTCACTAGAGACTTTTGCCAGGGGGTTTGCTACCCCTGTATGTGGTTGTTTTGTGACCCCGTTCAGTGTGTGGCTAAGGTTCTCTGCCAGCGAGTGGCTGGAGGGTGATAATGGGATATAGGCACCTCATGATACTGTGTCGGTAGGCTAGTCCACGTAAAAGGTGAATTCGCAGTGTTTTCCCAGTTCAAGTAAACGAGGTACTAGGTGGTGGAAACACTGGGGGGGTTATGAACACTGCATGTGTGCGCTTTTGGTGTCCTGTGTGAAAAGGACCCTACTACTGTAAATAAGTGTAGAAATGTTCTATTTTTATATATTTTAACGGTGAGGGTAGATATATTGGTGAAGGAAGAAGTGTATTGTTCATCTCCCTCCCCCCTTTTCTTATTGCACAATATAGCCAATTCTTGAAAGAATACTACCGCCTTGGGGTCGGATACTATAAACAAAGTTCATCCGTCAAGAACCCGGTTACTGGTCCTAAGTTGCCGAAACAACCTATCAGTATCTACGGGGAAATGAGGTCTAGCTCTTTATACCAAGGATACCAAGCTTGTACTGTCTTGGCATTAAGTCCCTTTCTGTTTTGGATATTTAAATTAATTTGTAATGCTGCTGACTGGGCATCCATGAATCGTTATGAATTCTGTATTTATATTCCATGGAATATGCACAGAATAAAAATATGGATAATGGATTATCAATAACTATTTGAATTATATTTATGTAGTAAATATAATTAATGTCACTGTGCCGAGGTAACACATTATGTTTCACAATTCATCATGTTTACTAATATAGAACATTTTATTTAGCGTATAATGGGAAGTATGGCAAGAAGTCGTTTTTTGTGCATAATAGTAAATGAGGTCAATTATAAATGAATTATAGTCATTTAATTTGGTTTTCTGGTTTAAGCTTTATATTCTTTTATCATTCGTTTTTCTTTCCTTATACACTTATATAAATGTTTATACAACCACATAAATACGCTTTTAAATTTTTACAGTAAATTACATTTTTAATTGCCAAATATGTTGTTGTTTGGTTTCGAATGATTTGGTATATCCAACTTTCTGACATTGTTATGGGGGGCAAATGGTTGCTCTGTGAGGGCCAATAGCTAAAATCAAGGAGTTCCAAGGAAGGAATACTTACAAGTACTCCAAGGAACATGGAATATGAACAAGGAATACTTAATGTGACAGGAGAACCTAAAAAAATAAGCTAAAACAGGACAGTTGGTATATGGCTTCCTGTTGCTCAGATGTATGTCACTCAGGTAACTGTGACAGCGCATCAGCTATCACGTTTAGCCAACCCGGTACGTGGATTACAGAGAGATTGAAGTCCTATAGATACAATGCCCACGTGAGGATCCGTTTATTTGTCTCTTTCATCTGGTGGATAAATACTAGTAGGTTATGGTCCGTGTACACTTCCACTATATTAGCTATGAGATATACTTCAAACTTGTTACATGTTAACACTACTGCCAATGCTTCTTTTTCAACCACTGAATAATCGTGTTGAGCCTTGTCAAATTTCACAGAGTAATAATACACTGGATGGTCCACTTGATCATCCCCAGTTTGCAACAACACTGCACCAACACCCGAGTCAGTCGCATCGATGTGAATGTTAACACTTTGGCGTACCCCGCTCGCCACCCCTCAACTGTGCGATATGGGACCCAGGGTGTCACGGGAGCACGCGTAAATTCTGAAAAGTGTATACTCTCTTCAACTTTGTCACCTTAATTCTCGTCCTACGAGATTAAATTTGGTATCATTGTGTTCGCAATAGAATTCTCTACAGCACTAAATGCATATAAACTCCAAAAGCCCGGCTAATTATCCGCAGCAAACAGAGAAAGTGCGAACGAGTTACCCAGGAGCGTGCAAACGCGATAAAATGTTTTCACTATTTTCACTCTGGTCACCTCAATTTTTGTCCTAGGTCTTTCATTTTGGTCTCAATGGGTTCGCAATAGAATTCTCTAGAGGAACATTAGCATATAAAATAAAAAACCTGGTCACGTTTCAACCGCCGACGAGTTAAGACGGGCCACGCGTTAGCCGCGAGTGAGCTCTCAGACGCCTTCCAGCTACACTCCCAATTCCCTCCCTTTTCAAGCCTTTCTTTCGCAATTTTCTTCCTGGAAGGGCCTTGTTCATGATCACTATCCATAGTGGAGTAAGCGTAGATAGTTTCTAAAGCCGCAGTAAGAAATATAGCCACGGAAAATAGCCAAAATGTTCACACGTTTGAGATGCGAGGGGAGGCGACATTGGTCACAACAGTGGAGCGAAAACAATGGGCCCACGGCGTGTGCCAAGCCACCTGAGGGCCACGAGGCTCAACAAAGAAAATGGGAAGACATCGGCGCACATTTTAAAACCAGTCCTAAAAAAATCGGATAAAAACCTGATTTTTGGCGATTATTTAAAGTGGATGACGCAATGCTGCGTCATCCCCAGTATTACCGCAAGTAAACGGATGACGCGATGCTGCGTCATGCCCGGGCGAGTGTTAAATGGTCTGTTGAACCTTGGACTAGCGAGCACTGGAGCAGAAACTAAGATCAATTTAATTTAAAAATTTTAAAAGCCTCTGCACAGGCTGTTGACCACTTAAATTTAACAGTCTTTTGCAACACATTAGTTAAGGGAGTGGCCACACTTGAAAAATTCTGACAAAAACGTCGGTAGTACCCAGACATACCGATAAACCATTGCACATCTCTTTGTTCCGGAGCACTGGATACTCCAGAGTGGTACTGATTTTATCTTGCCGAGGTACCACTTTTCCTTGGCCCACTTGATAACCGATGTATGTCACTGTGCCTTGACCATAAAAAAAAGAAAATTGTGTTTAACTTTATAAGTATGCACATTTCAAAACTGTGAACAACTGGCGTACTCTAGCTATGTGGTCTTCCCAGTTTCTATCAAAAAGCACAATGTCATCTAAATACGCCCAACAATTTGGCACATTTGCCAGCAGAGAGTTCATTAACCGCTGGAACGTTGCTGGAGCATTCCTCAGTCCGAAAGGTAGCACCTGATACTCAAAACCCCCAGCACGGCCTTATCTGGCCGAGCCAGGGCTCTTGATGCTCGCCCTGCCTTTTGGTTCCCAAACCAGACGGCTCCTGGCGACTATGCACCGACTATCGGCAGCTCAACAAGGGGACCATCGTAGATGCCTACCCACTGCCCCCCCCCCCCAGAGGACTGTATCGATGAGATCAGTAATGCAGCCTATATGTCGAAGTTCGATCTCTCAAGGGGGTACTACTAAATCCCACTCACTGAATGTGCCAAACAGCTAACCGCGTTCGCAACACCCAATGGTGTTTTTGAGTTCAGGGGCTACCTTTCCGACTGAGGAATGCTCCAGCAACGTTCCAGCAGTTAATGAACTCTCTGCTGGCAAATGTGCCAAAAATGTCAGGCGTATTTAGATGATATTGTGCTTTTTGATAGAAACTGGGAAGACCACATAGCTAGATTACGCCAGTTGTTCACAGTTTTGAAAAGTGCATACTTAACATTAAACGCAATTTTTTTATTTTGGTCAAGGCACAGTGACATACATCGGTAATGAAGTGAGCCAAGGAAAAGTGGTACCTCGGCAAGATAAAATCAGTGCCACTCTGGAGTATCCAGTGCTCCGGAACAAAGAGATGTGCAATGGTTTATCGGTATGTCTGGGTACTACCGACGTTTTTGTCAGAATTTTTCAAGTGTGGCCACTCCCTTAACTAATGTGTTGCAAAAAACTGCTAAATTTAAGTGGTCAACAGCCTGTGCAGAGGCTTTTAAAATTTTTAAATTAAATTGATCTTAGTTTCTGCTCCAGTGCTCGCTAGTCCAAGGTTCGACAGACCATTTAGCATTCACATCGATGTGACTGACTCAGGTGTTGGTGCAGTGTTGTTGCAAACTGGGGATGATCAAGTGGACCATCCAGTGTATTATTACTCTGTGAAATTTGACAAGGCTCAACGCAATTATTCAGTGGTTGAAAAAGAAGCATTGGCACTAGTGTTAACATGCAACAAGTTTGAAGTATATCTCATAGCTAATATAGTGGAAGTGTACACGGACCATAATCCACTAGTATTTATCCACCAGATGAAAGAGAAAAATAAACGGGTTCCTCAGGTGGGCATTGTATCTATAGGATTTAAATCTTTCCGTAATCCAGGTACCGGGTCGGCTAAACGTGATAGTTGATGCGCTGTCACAGTTACCTGAATGACATACATCTGAGCCACAGGAAGCCATATACCAACTGTCATGTTTTAGTTAATTTTTTTTAGGTTCTCCTGTCACAATAAGTATTCCTAGTTCATATTCCATGTTCCTTGGAGTGCTTGTAAGTATTCC